CAGCTCTACCATATCTATCACAACAACTATGACCATCTGAATTGGGAAATATTTAACCATGATATTTCAGGATATCATGGCAATGAACAAAATGAATGTTTTGCACTGGCATCTTGTAGACAGCGAAGCATTTCCTTACGTTTCTAAGAAATTCCCAAATCTTGCGAAAACAGTAAGTTGCTTCTAATTGTTTCTAAGTAAAACTCTGCAGACTCAATTGAGAGTTAGTGTAAGCTGAAAACACACTCTTCTGGTAAATTTATGTGAAAGGAAAATTCGCTTACTTATAAGACATAGCCTTTTTTCCTTTCAATTTAAAATTGCGCAGTTCAAAAATGTTTTGGTGTGATGTTACATGTGATTTGAAGAGAACTGTGTGTTCTGTGATAATTTATTCGATTTTTTTGTTCGAATTATTTTCGTTAAGCTTCAAAATATTAGACTGGTGTCAAGTCAAAAATATGAAACTACTCCTTAAACCAATTCTAAGCATCGTAATAATGATTTCATCGCCATACTCTTCGAAACCGTGGCTTTTGAAAATTACAATGTGTAATTTAACAAAATTTAACTCGAACAAAAAAGATCAAGAACACTATCTCAACAAACACTTCTTTCAAAAAGACTGTTATATCCACTTTTATATGGTGCAATTTTGAATTGAAAAAAAGCAAACATCACTAAACCCTCCTCCAGGGTGCATATTCACCCAAACATCAGTACTCACCAAGCGACGTCCAGGAAATCATCGAATTCGCTAGGGTTCGAGGGATACGAGTTATTCCTGAATTTGACCTACCAGGTACAATTATTGCACCTGTATGAACGTAAATGAAACATCTCAGGCCACACCGGAGCATGGCAAGGACATCCAGAACTGTTAACGGAGTGTTTCGATTGTGCTGGAAAGCCAACCTATTTACCTAATCTCGTAGATCCAAGCAAGAATTCAACGTTTGAGTTCCTATACGTATGTTAGTCTAAAGACGGGAATGTATAACTCAGCTAGTGGAGAAACACCTTAGGAGTTTCTCGATGAAGTGATGACGACATTTCCCGATGAGTTTTTGCACCTTGGAGGCGATGAAGTTGAGATGTTTATTGAAGACTGCTGGAAAGTTTACAGAGATCATCCTGTAGAATTATACAAAAAAAAATGTTAGTTTTTAGGATGAGGAACTCAAACATCAGGAAGTTTATGGAGGAAAAATCATTCGGGCGCA